GCGCTCGCCATGGGCTTCCCGCGCCAGCTGACGGGGCTTTAACCCGCCACCGCCAGCTCGTCCCTGACGGGGTCTTCGGCTGCCCCCGCGCGGCCTGCTGCGCCTAGGGCTTGTGTCCCTGGTAGGGCTCCGCGCACCTGGAGCTTTAACACGCCAGCTGGTCCTAAGACCCTCGAGCAGGAAAGGGGAGGGCAGGGGGTAGGGAAGGAGGGCAGCTCCTGTCGAGCCCCGAAGCGGTGGACACCTCGAGAGCTGGCCCTCAGCCCCCTGGAGCCCGGGTTTGAAGCCTCAAGTTCTTGGGGCCCTTCCAGCCGTGTCCAGCGGGTGGGAAACAGGCCGAGCCCATCATGGGCGGTGCCCGCCGTGTCGCTGACCGGGCGTCCAGCGCCCCTCAGGCTTGGGCCAGGCCACTCCGGGCAGGGGGGCTGAGTGCCCAGGCTGGCTAGGGGATTGGACGGCACTGGAGTCTTCTCCGTTGGGGTGGACCCCGCCCCCACCTAGCCTAGGGCCTTGACTGGGTTTGCTGATCCTTTGCGCCAGCCAGCGTTGTCCCTCGTCCCAGGGGGAGCTCCCCCTCCCCCAGCAGCAGCCCAGGCAGCTGTGCCTTAGCTGCTGTAGGAGATGCATCTCTCCACCAATGTGGAAGGCTAGCACGCCCTCATTCGTGCCCAATAAATATTGTTGGTTGTTGGGGAAGGACGCCCCTAGGAATGGCAGGGTGTGCATGCCACGGGGCCCTACGGGTGTCAGGGATGGGGAGGCCAGCCCAGAAAAGGGAGGGCCTGCCGGGGCCCATGCCCCTCCCCCACGGTGCTCCCTGTGGCAGCCCCCCATGCTCCAGGCCAGGCCCCCCAAGACCAGTGCTTCCTGCTGCTTTCCCTTGCCAGCCCGCCTGGGAGCTTAGGGTCTGGCAGAGCCTTGAGCTCTCAGCCCCATCCTGGTGTGGGCCCATGAGCCCAGCGAGGGAACTAAGGCCAGCAGGCCTGACCCCAACCAGCCTGCCTCCCTCGGAGTGTCTGGTGGGTTCAAGGATGCCCTGACGAATAGGACACTGTGACAACAAGCAAATGCGTCCTGGTGGAGGGCCCTGGAGGCAAGGTTTTCAGTGAGGGGGTGACAGGAGAGGGCACCAACCAGGCGAGGGGCTAGCTCTCGATGGCAGAACCAAATGCGATTTTTTTCTGTTGAATTATTTCCTGTAAACTGTATCCCAGTTTTCCACAGGTGTGGATGCTGCAGGGCGGAGGCCACCTGGCCTGGGGTTGGAAGGAGGCGAGGCCTTCCCGGCCCTGGTGTCGTGGCCACAGCAGTGACCACAAAATGCGGGCCTCCAGCGTTTCCCGAGTGTCGGGGTGCCCCGGGCCACCCCCAGCCCAGGTCTGGCCTTCAAGCGGTCTCCCTCCCGTGAGAAGGAAAGCCACCCCACACCCAGCCCTGCTCTGGGCACCCAGGGGAGCCTGTGCTCTCCTCCTTGGCAAGGGTGGAGCACCTGTCTGCCCTGGGCCACTGAAGGCCAGGGGGTGACCTAGCGTATGCTTAAGAAATGAGCAGACGCTGGCCCCGCACCCAGCCTCTGAGCGGCCCTATGTGCGACCCTACCCATGTGCGGATGGGCTGGGGAGGACCCACCCCAACAGCCCCAGGAAGCCAGCTAGTTCAGGCGGGTACGTCCCAGGGACCCCCACAATGGCAAGCCCAGCAACATGTGACACTGAGTCCTGCCTCCATGTCCCATATGCCTCGTGTCACAGCGTGGCAGTCGCTGGGCCTCACCTGTTTGCCAGGGAGAGGAGCTGCTAGGGCCACACCGTGAAGGGACGGGGTCCACCAGACCCTCCTCCAGCTGCCTGGCTTCCTACTTTTACTTCTCCAGGGGCCATGGGGCCACCTCCTCTCTCAGCCTCCTTAGGGAAGGAAGGTGACCTTCTCTGAGTCTGTGACCCTGAATTTGACCCAGGATGGTAACCACTGGTTTACTGAAACTACAGGTCCCAGCAGTGAGGCTGGGTCCCTCCCCCTCCAGCCAGGGACAGAAGGGGGAGGGGGGAGGACGGCCAAAGGAGGGAGGTGGGGGCTGGGAGGCCCAGTTCTCCGCCCCAAGGGGCCCGAAGCAAGCAAACATCTGTCTGGATACAAAAACCAAGCTCTACTTTTGTAATCAAAAAATATATCCCAAGGAAGAAAAGAAACAAAAGGAACAATGTTTGTACTCTGTTGCTGCAAACAGCGGAGCTGGGGAGGGGTGCTGGCCCCCAGGACGGACAAGGACACGCCCCCAGGCTGCCGGAGTGCCCCAGATCCTGCGTGCCCGCGGGAGAGGGAGCCCGCTTGCAGGGGGGTTCATAAGCACCCCATGCATATCTCCCACAGGGAGAAGCAGCAAGCAGCCTCCTCCTCCTCTGAGCACAAGCCACATTTCCAGCCCGTCCCAGCAAGGTGGGGCCACAAAACTGGCCACAAAAGGTGAGCAGAAGTGCTCCGGGCCACCTCCGGGCCGGCCTTCAAAACCGACCAGTCGTTCCCCGCCCTTCTCCCCTCTCTGCTGGCCAGATGGGGGGTCCAGGGAGGGACCCCTAGGGACAGCAGAGCCTCTAGGTAGCAGAAGCCCCGAATGGCCGCTCAGAGCAGAGACACCGCGCCATCCGCACACCCACCCGACTGTGATTGGAAAGAGAAACAAGTTTATTGTGTCTTAACCCGCTAGATTTGGGGGGTTGCCTGTTGCAGACACCACTCACTCGCACGTAGGACACGGGCATTTTCCTGACGGGGGAACGGAGAACTAGGAAGGTTACAGCGGGCAAGGCGTTCACCCGCACCCGGCCCCTCGCGGGGCTTAGTTCTCCTCCCAACGCCCTCGCCATGGGTGGACATCGGGGTCCCTTTCTCAGCCGAGGACGCCGAGGTTCGGGTCGCAAACACTCGCCCAAGTGAGGCGGGGCGGGGCTGGCCGGCGGCGCCGTCCGCGGCCGCACGCTGCCCCCTGGCGGCCGACTTCCGCACCAGCCACTCGCCCACCCCAGCCTCCCTTTGTCGGGGGAGGCGCAGGGAACTGCCTCTGGAAGCCTGGGGGGCGGTCTGCGTGCCCGGGGACGACCCCCTTCAGTGCTTCCAGGGACCCTGCAAGGGGTGTCTGTGTCTGCGCCCCTCCCGCGGCCACCTTGACGCTATCCGGGGCGGTACCCGAGGGGGACGACGCAAACCCTGACAACACCAGCCACCTCAAGCCTGCCTGCTCGGGCGGGCTCCTGGCCTCATTAATCCTTTCAAGAACCCACGGAGGAGGGGGGGGGAGGCGTTTCGATGCCCGCTTTGCTCCGAGAGTCGGAGAAGTTAAGCAGCCTGGCTGGGGTCACCCAGCGCCGGCGGCAGATTTGTGCCTCTCCCCAGCCCTCAGCTCTTCCACTGAACTTTGTGCAAGGGGCTGGTGAGCACAACAGGAAAGGAAGTCAAAGTTTCCCGGGTACACCTCCCCGGACACCCCCAGACCCCAGAGCCAGAGGCGGCATCTGTGGGGGTTACGGCCCTGCCCAGGGATGGCCGAGCCCTCGGGTGCACCCCACCCGAGGGGTGACCCAGTCCCGCCCAGCCCGTCTGCCTTCCTCTGTGCTGGCCTTGACCTGTCCCCTCGCACCCCACCAGGGCAAAGCCCTCACTGCCTCACCCCTCTCCCCTGGCCCTCGGGGGTGCCCACGCGGCCGTGGAAGGGCCCCCCTTTGGCCTCAAGCCGCATCCCCCAGCCCCGGTCCTTCAACAAGGCCCTGGACAGGCCATGCGAGACCCCCCCTGGGAAGGCCGGGGCCCCGAGCCCCCCTTCTCCTCCATGAGATGGGGCCTGGAGGCCCCGCGGGTGTGGGGAGTTACAGATTAACCAGCCAGCCCCCAGCGGCAGGCGGCGCGGCGGCTCTGCGCCCGCGGAGGGGGAGGCTTTCCGGCGCCTTGGCGGGGGCCCAGCGCCGGGCGCAGCCAGCTTTCCTCCCGCACCAAGTTCCCGCGCTCGGCTCGCCCCGCCCCGCCCCCCTCCCAGCACGGGCTGTTCCCGCGGCGGCTGCCAGGCACGTCCTCCGCAGGTGCCGGCCTCCCTCGGTGACGCGTCCACATGCCGCGCAGCGCGGCTCGAAAGCTCCGATTACAGGGGCTGCCTTGTGCGCGGGGGGCCGGCCGGGTCCTCACGGCCCGGGCTCCGGCGGGAGGGGAGGCGGGCGCAGGGAACAGCCCTGGACGTGAGCGCCGCGAGGCCCATCTCCCAAAGGCCCAGGCGCTGCTCCCCTTCGGGGTCTCGAGCGGGGGCACCCCTCATCCCAGCTGGCGCAGGACTTTCCTGTTTCCAACACAGAGCGTCCCAGAAACTCTAGACCATTATGGTCAACCATCCCAGCTCCCACCCACCCTCACCTCCCACCCCTGGCCAGACCCTCCCAGGGCTGGAGAGGGGGCCCAGGGTAGGGGGCAGGCACTGGAGGGTCTCAGGGCCGGGTGGGGACCTGTCTCAGACATCTCTGTGGCCAGCTCTGAGCCCTAC